GATATCTCAATGTGGTTTTAATTTGCATTTCACGAATGGCTAGCGATGTGGAGCATTTTTTCATATATTTATTCGCTTCTTTAATTTCTTCCTCTGAGTGGCTATAATTTTTCTACCTGAAAGAAAATTTATTTTTTGTGTGGCCAACTCAGTGCTGGGGCCTGAACTTGCGTAAGGAGGTGCTTTAGACCACTGAGCTATCTCGCTGGCTCCAAAACTTTCTTTTTGGTTAAAGAGCCAAACCAAGTTGGATGTGTTGTCCCATGACTGTAATCTCAGCACTAAGGGAGGCTGAGACAGGAGGGTTGCAAGTTTGGGTCCTGACTGGCAATTTATCGAGACTGTCTCCCCCCCCCAAAGAAAAAGGGTGGGGACAGTTTAGAGCACCTGTGGGTTCAACCCTTGCTACTGAAACCAAACAAAATCAAAAATAAATAAATGTAAAAAAAAAAAGGGGGAATGTTAAAAAAAAAATAATAAAGCTATTGCAGCCCTATATGCATGTATTTATTTTGGTCTCACTTTGGAGCCCAGGCTGGCCTCAAACCTGCATGGACCCTCCTGCCTTAGCTTCCTGCAGCATGTGCTGCGGGGACCAGAGGCATGTGCTGCCAGACCAGGCCTGCAAGTATTTTAAATAGAAAGTCAAGGGGCTAGGGAGGTAGCTCAGTAGAATAAGTGCTTGGCAAGTGCAAGGGCCTGAGTTCAATCTCTGGTTCCCCTCCCCCCAAAAAAGAAGGAAGTCAGAGCTGACACCCTGGATTTAGATTGCAGGAGCAGTGAGCTCAGCATGAGGTGGGGAAAGGTGGGGTTTGATCGGAGGACGCCCTCTTTATTTCTGACTGTCCACACTTCCTCCTGTCTCCCTGGTGTTCTAGCTGCAGGCTCAGGCTTTTTCCTTTGTGTGAGGGCGCGGCGACCCCTGGTGGCCAGCGGCGGGATCGCCATGGCCCTTCCTGGCTGCGGACCCCAGGCGCCCTGAGTGATGGTTCCCATTTTCTTAAGCCCTGCAGGCTCCCGGCCCGCCACCCCGAAGAGCGACTCTGAGCTGGTGAGCAAGGGCAGCGACCGCTCGGCCCCCAAGAGTAACCTGGAGATGTTGTGGCTATGGGGAGAGCTGCCGCAGGCCGCTAAGGTGAGCCCAGCAACCCGAGGACTCGCGTTGTATTTGATTATTTTATGTGATAGGGTCTATGTAGTCCAGGTTAGCCTTGAGCTCACTGTTAGCTAGGCTGGCTGCCAATTTGTGGGGATCTTCCTTCAGCATTGAGTGCTGCGAGTATAGGTGTATGTCGCTTTGCCTTGTTGCACGTGTTTTAAACAGGACAACTAGATGGAAAGGCCCTGCCTGCCTGGCAACGCGAGGATCCTGTCTTTGTAGCTGCTTTGACTCCCCTGCCCCAGGAGGGGTACCGCTTTGTAGCAGAGATTACAGAGATTAGTTTTTTAAGATTTACTCTGTGAGGCAGAGGCAGGAAGATCGCAAGCTTAAGATCAGCCTGGCTAGTTTAGTAACTTAGCAAGACCCTGTCTCAAAGTAAAATTTAAAAAAAAAAATATTTTGTTTGTTTTGCCTTTTTGAGACAGGGTTTCAAAAACTGAACTGGTGCAGTTCAGGTTGGCCTTGAACTCTGAGCAAATCCTCCTGATTCAGCCTCCTGAGAGCTGGGATTATAAGCATGCCCCACCACACCCAGCTCCAATAAAAGATTTTTAGAAAGGGCTGGGGATGCAGCTTGGTGAGAAGGCCCTGGGTTCAATGCCCAGTACTGGAAAAAGTAAAAAATAAAACAAGCCCTACAACTGACTGCTTTCTCTCCTCCGGTGGCTTAGTCTGTAGCTTGTGCTCTGGCCTTTTCTCTAGTCCTTTTTCTCCCTTTCCGCTCTAGTCCTCTCTGCACAAGATGAAAGAACCCAGCCCACTGAGCAGTAGAAAGATCTGTGAAAAAACCCACTTCCAAGCCATCCACAGCGAGTCGTCAGATACCTTCAGCGACCAGTCGCCAACACTGTCCAGGGTGCCGCTTGAAGAGCAGAGTCGGGCACAGCTGGAGATGCAGTTGGTGGCCGAGGAGGACCTGGAGGTCCTGGGAGCGGCTGCCCCATCTGTGCCTGTGACCGAGGAGCCCAAGCCTCCAGTTGCCAGCGTGGCGCAGCCGGCGAGCAAGATGGACTCTCCCCGGAGGAAAGGTAGGAGGCCAGGACAAGGCCGGCGGATGACATGACACATACCCCGTTTCACCTCTGCTCCTCTGAGGAATGTGTCTGTCAGCTTTCCTGTGGCTGGGCTGCAGTGTCCAGCTCCCACAGCTGGGCGGAGAGGATGGATGTGGCTCACGGTGTCAGGGGGACTTGGTCCATGGGCAGCTGCTCCAAGGCAGGAGCATCATGGTGGAAGGGTGTGGGGGGAGCAGAGCTGTCCTGCTCATGGTGGCCAGGAGGCAGAGCAGGGAACCACCAGAGAGGAAGGGGAGGGACTTGGGCCACAACCCCATGACCACTCAGGCACACCCGGAAGGGAACTTTTCTAATTGCCGCATGTCTTAGCCCAGTGGACACGTCAGGGCCACTGGCCACACTGAGCTCCCAGGTTGGGAGTCCATATCCATATGCCAAGGACCAGAAGTGTTTTAGACTCCAGGGTTCCTTGGATTCTGGATTTCTCACACGGATGTCACTGGTCAGGGACCCCTCATCTGCAAATCCTGAATCCCAGCCTGGTTTCCTGTCTGTAACAATGATATCGAGCCCGATCTTTGTGAACCTGCTCTTTGCCCAGCTTTTCTGTTTTTCAGGTACTGAGGAGTGAACCCAGGGCCTCCACGCTGTGCCTCATTCCCAGGCCTTTTTCATTTTGAAACAGGGTTTCACTAAGTTGTTTAGTTAGCGGGTGGGACTCAGACTTGGAACTTGGTGATCCTCCTGCCTCAGTCTCCCGAGTGCTGATTGCAGGCATGCACCACCTCTTTCTGCTGGGAGAGCCGTGCTGACTGGGTCCCTTGCACTTTCAGATAAGCGGAGCAGACACCTTGGTGCCGACGGCGTCTACCTGGATGAGCTCACCGACATGGACCCTGAGGTGGCAGCCCTGTACTTTCCCAAAAAGTAAAATTTCTTTTTTCCTCTTAGCATTCTCTGTAAGCTATGCATCAGTCTGTGTGAGTCTGGCTTCCCCTGGTGTTTGAGGAGAAAGTAGGGCTCGGTGTGGTATTGGACACTCAGGGAAGCAGGCAGGAGGACCTCAGGTTTGAGCTCAGCCCTGTACTATATATATATACATATAT